CATTGCCATGGTTTAATACAAGACTTAAGCTTATAATATTAACACTGTAAGTAAAGGGTGTTTTTTTTAGAGGTATAGAACTTTAAATTGCAATAAAACAACGATGGATTATTCGATTGACAAGAATTTTTTTTTATTAGAAAGATAATCTTGTGGCATTATATTTTAAATATAATTTCTGGCATATGACTGCCACGGCTGGCTCGGATGTAGTCCAATCTGGACGTCCAATTTTCGATGACTTTTTCCAACATTTGTGGCTGTATATTGGCAATAACACGGTGAATGTTGTCTTCCAAATGGTCAAGCGTTTGTGGCTTATCCGCATAGACCAATGACTTTACATAGCCCCACAGAAAGTAGTCTAGCAGTGTTAAATCACAAGATCTTGGAGGCCAATTCACAGGTTTAAAACATGAAATTAGGCAATCACCAAACGTGTCTTTCAATAAATCGATTGTGGCACAAGCTGTGTGACATTTTGCGCCATCTTGTTGAAACCACAGCTCCTGGACATCATGGTTGTTCAATTCAGGAATGAAAAAGTTTGTAATCATGGCTCTATACCTATCACCATTGACTGTAACGTTCTGGCCATCATCATTTTTGAAGAAGTATGGACCAATGATTCCACCAGCCCATAAAGCGCACCAAACAGTCAGTTTTTCTGGATGTAACGGTGTTTTGACATACACTTGAGGATTATCTTCACTCCGAATGCGGCAGTTTTGTTTGTTGACGTAACCATTCAACCAGAAGTGCGCTTCATCGCTAAAGAAAATTTGCTTATGAAAATCGGGAACAACGGCAATCTTGTTTTGGGCCCATTCGGCAAATCTACGCCTTGCTTGATGATCGTTTGGCTTCAATTCTTGCACGAGTTGGATTTTGTAAGCACGCATACCAAGATCCATACAGTGGATGGACACAGATCCAATTCCTGTGCTCAATGGCAGATGGACTCATTCGGGTCTTCCGCAATGCTACGCTCTACAGTAGCAATAGCTTCTTCTGTACGCACCGTACAACGTCTCTGGGCATGCGAGTTATCAATAAGAGTAAATGTGGTGCGAAAACGTTCCATGGTTAATCGAATTAACTGCTCTGATGGACGATTTTGTCGAGGATAAAATGGACGTAGGTGGCGATACGTATTCCGCACAGAACCATTATTTTCGAAATAAAATTGAACTATTTGCAAGCGTTGTTCAGGCGTGAGCCTACTCATGATGAATTGCCAAACCAAACTGAGAATAAATCACTTGTCACCTGTTAAATCGGTCACCATCTTGAACAGTAATACCAACTTAAAGTTCTATACCTCTAAAAAAAACACCCTTTACATGGTGGCCACAAAATTTTAAAAGTTAAATTCCAAGACATTTCCAGGACATTCCAGGACATTTTGTTGCATTTTCCAGGACACTTTATATCTTAATAAATGAATATTACCAATTATCTTTATGTTATATTTTTTTCATATTGATTGAATTATAGAATAGAATATTATATTATTACTACTCTCTTATTTAAAATTAAATTCAAACCATTTATATAAAAAAATTTTTTGCATAAAAAATTTAATATTACTTCAATATTATTAGTAATTTTTTAACTTGACTCAGAAAAAAAAAAGTTCCAGGACATTTCAGGACATTTTTGAAAAAAAACCTAATTTTTCAGGACATTTCAGGACATTCCAGGACACTTGCAAAAATCCAGGACATTCCAGGACTGTGGCCACCATGAAGAAACTATTTGTTTAGATATATACTTTGCAACATTAAAATGATATAAAAAGGTTCATTAAAAACTTTGTAAATTAAACTTATTAACGTTATGGCATGTTTTTAAGAACTATTTATTGCCTCAAGAGAATTAAGAACTTAAGACTTAATGACTTCCTTAAATGGAATTTTAGGAAAGTTTAAAATGGACCACATATATATATATATATATATATATATATATATATATATATATATATATATATATATATATATATTATATATATATATACATATATAGGTGTTTTTATACATAGATTATATATACAAACACATAATAATTAACAATAAAACAAATAATAACTTTATGTTACATACTTCAGCAAAAGAGTAAAATCTAGGAAGAAAAAAAAAGATATGTATTTTAAATAATCTAAAAAAAAAAAAAAAAAACATTAAAAATATTTACAATAATAATGTATTTAGCATAATCCAACTATTAATTCTTTTTGTGTTAAAGTCGATCAGAGAAAAGAGGATTCTTCTTCCAATTTCTTTATTTTTCATTTTTCTTTTTTTTTAAATGTATTTCATCTTGATTAGAATTTATAATTAATCAATCCTATGTTCAGCAAATTTAAATAAGCCACAATTGTGGTATTTAAAAAAGCACATGATTATGTGTAACTTTCAATTTAATGAAAATTTCTTTCCGAAGGATGATGGTTTTTACAGAAATACTATTTTATAAAATTTAGATAATAATTGCGGTG